AAGTCAAATGATTAGAAATGAATTACTGGTGATTATTATTTAAAACAAAGATATCTTTATGTTTTTCTTCATCAGAATGATGATTATATCATATGCTAAGTAAATACATCTTCCCAAGACCGTTGCTTACAACCAACTCTTCTAAGATATATAATTTAGTTCTTACTTATTTTAGAACTATTACAAAATAAGCAGCATGAGAAATTGAAGTAATTTACTGAATATAGGTTTTTATATTGCCTCAGGACAGTTCATGGACGTCTGTGACTAAAGCAATTACTAAATAACATTGGGGGGGTATGATTATAAATTACATGCATTGAAATGGGCTCAAACATATAAAACATATAAAAAACCTGTTAGTGATAAAGAACTATTTTCTGTTAAAGCATTGTTAATCCAAAACAACATAATAATCTCTCTCTAAAAAAGAAATTAAGCTTTGGTTTCAAAAGACCATAGGCTTACATTTTAGTAATGGACTAGATGAGAGACAATGAACTAAAGCAGAATCCAGACAGGACTAAGGCACTGTTAGACCAGATGGATGGTGGGTTGCCTGCTCTTGATGGAGCTATATTCCCTCTGAAGGAGCAGGTATGCAGCTTGGGGGTACTTCTGAATCCATTGCTGTCAACTGGGCCTCCATGGCACAGAGTACCTTCCATCAGCTTTGGCTGGTGGCTCAGCAGCATCAGTTGAAAGGTTATCGTAGCTCTGTTCTCTATGCTCTGGTAAGCCCTAGGTTAAATTATTGCAATGCATTATATGTGGGGCTGCCTCTGAAGATTGTCTAGAAACTTCAGCCAGGTTGCTCATTGAGGCAAAACTATTTGTGCATATAACACCAATCCTGGCATGACTGCATTGGATGCCAGTTAGTTTCTGTGTCCAATTCAAAGTGCTGGTTTTGAGCAATAATAATAATAATAATAATAATAATAATAGTAATAATAATAATTTTTTACTGTTTATACCCCACCCATTTACCTGGGTTTCCCTAGCCACTTTGGGTAGCTTCCAGCAAAATATAAAAATAATAATAAAATCAGACATTAAAAACTTCCCTGCCTTCATATGTTGCCTAAAAGTTGTCTAATTTTTTTATCTCCCTGACATCTGATGGGAGGGCATTCCACAAGGAGGGCACCACTCAAAGCCTAAAATGGCTCAAGACCACAATATATTAAGGATCACCTCTCCCCAGATGAGCAAACTAAGGCTCTGTGATCATTATCTGAGGCTTTTCATTGTGTGACCCCTCCATGAGAAGTGCAGGGGGTGGCAACATGAGAACAGGCCTTTTGTGTGGTGGCTCCATGTCTGTGTACGCTCTCTCCAGGGAGGCTCACCTGCTGCCTTCATTACATATATTTAGGAAGGAAGGAAGGAAGGAAACATTCCTCTTCAATCAGGACTTTGGCTAATTAAACAATCTATGGCCTTTTAAATGTGTCAGATGGGTTGTGGTTTGTTGCTATTATGTTACATATTTTGTGTTTTTATGTTGTAAATCACCCTGTGATCCTTGAATGAAGAGCAATATATAAATTTAATAAATAGTAATAGATATGAAGAATTAATATTTTTTAAAGCAAGCAAGACTTAAGGAACCAAATAAAACCATGTAAACAAGAGATGTTTAGTATTTCTGAAGTGCAACACACTTATGAGAAATGTGGAAGGTATATGTTACAGCTATAAAAGCATCCCCACATTGACCCCAGCTCAAAAACTAGGTCTGCATACACCGTGGGTAGGCAAACTAAGGCCCAGGGGCCGGATCCGGCCCAATCGCCTTCTAAATCCGGCCTGCAGACAGTTCGGGGATCAGCATGTTGTTACATGAGTAGAATGTGTCCTTTTATTTAAAATGCACCTCTGGGTTATTTGTAGGGCATAGGAATTTGTTCACCCCCCCAAAAAAAAACATATAGTCCAGCCCCTGCTGAAAAAGTTTGCTGATCCCTGACCATGAAAAGGACCTTTATATACATGATGATAATTGCCAAGGCAAAATTCTAGAATTGTAACAAACTGGAAAGCCTACTAGCTGGAAGATCTATACTCTGGGTTCACCTCAGCTTGTATAAATCTTTCGCCTTTTACTAGCTGGAAGATCTGCATAAGAACTGGAACACTGTATGCTGTAAGCCTTCCAGAGTGGCTGGGGAAACCCAGCCAGATGGGCGGGGTATAAATAATAAAGGTCCATGGCACTGGAACAGTTGTATATTTCTGAAATTAACCGCTAATCTAAAAATGGGCTAACAACCCAATTTTATGATTGTTTATTTTGAAGTAAGTCCTGCTGGGTGCAATGCTGCATATATGCCGTTTACCTTCCCGTCACAGTGGCACCTCTTTATCTACTTGCACTGGTGTGCTTTCGAACTGCTAGGTTGGCAGGAGCTGGGACAGAGCAACGGGAACTCACCCCGTCGCGCAGATTCAAACCACCAACCTTCCAATCGGCAAGCCCAAAAGGCTCAGTGGTTTAGACCACAGGTAACGGCTAAACAGCCATAGTATGTACCTCAAAGCTGTAACTTTGCTGTAATTAGAAAGAGGGGGAAATGATGGCACATAGTAACACCACAGCTGCAGTATTTCTGAACTAGGACACTCGGGCAGCAGCTATTAAGGTTTCCAGAAATGTAATTCGATGGTAAAAGATTTAGCAGCTTAGTGGATTTTTTAAAAAAGAAAAATTGTTAGAAATGTGTGTGGGGGGGTGCTTAAACTAATATTAGAGGGAATATATTTCAGAATTGGTCTTGTTTTATAATCTCATAGCCTGAGGCTAGGATAAAAGGTCATGGATAATTGGTGAAAGAGTGATGGATACTGTTCAACATATGTCCTTTTAAGAAGTTTCTGGTATGACAGGATGCTGGCAGAATTGTTTAAAGGAGAAGGGATTTCACTATTATTGAATCATTAAAGAGGAAAGCCAGGTAAGATTCAAATTCCACATTTAAAATACTCATCCCCTTTACAATATTTACATAAGTAGGAGAGAGAGAAATTGTGACTACTTAAAATGTTTCAGTGCCAGTGTGATTTAATCATATTTCATGTAGATGTGCAGTAGATAGAAGAGCAAACATTTTGCTCACATGCAGCTGACTGTATTACAACAGTCAAAACCTCAGTGCATGTGTAGGGTGCACTTTTCCTTTTTACAGCATAAATAGGCAGAAAGTTGATGCAACAATATTTAATTATATTTCGTTCAGTCAAAATAAAATAAATAAACCATTAGTTTGCTATACCATGTTTTGTGACATATGAATGAACACCTGAAATACAGTTTTTACTATTAAATCTGTATGTCTGAACCTGTATTAGGATACAATACTGAGTCCTTGGGAAAGGTAGGCCACGCAGTGTCAAAAGTACATAAAAAGAAACATGACATATACACTTCGTTTTGTGGACTTGTACCTCAGACACCTGCACTTCAGACTACAATAAGCCTTTAATATGCACAGACTAATATGTGACATTTACAACACATTATGGTAGGATCAATACTACAACCTCCTATTTGAATTTACTCTACAGGGCAATTAGTAGGATTTGTGGAGGCTATTTGTGAAAATATTAGATGGTGTAAACTGATTAGACAGCAAAGAAGCTAAGGAAAACATATTACTTTGTCTCAACAAAGAGAATCCTCCTTTATACCTGGGAGCATTCTGTCTTATCTATGTATCTATCAGAAAACATTTTAGCTAATACTATTTCTATAAACACAGGTACACAGGATACAATTCCACCTCCCAGCCAAAGATTACTCATAATAATCTTCTGCAATAATCAGATTTGTTCAACAATTTTGTAAGATTGCATAAGGAGCCTGTCCACTGGTTCCCTTTCATGATCATATTTAAAATTCCTAGCAATTTCATATGAACAGGAGTTGAACAAGGAAGGAAGGAGATGTAACAATCTTCCTCACCCACAACTACAACCAGCGAAGGCTAATATTCCTGGATCTAACAAAGGGACAAGGAAGCATTACATTGCATCTCTGTCCTAGAATTCTGTAGAATTACAATACAATCTATTGCTTTCTTCAGTTGGTAAATTATACCCCACTCTCCCTGTGCCTATATTGAGACCTAGCACTAAACCATTTCTTTTTCTTTGCAAAGTAAATATATACACAATAGAAACTTAGTATAAATATAGTAAATATTAACAAATGGTTAGCAAATATGTATGCATTTTTATAGTCACATATCACTTTTAAGTAACACTAAAGTAGATTATAGTCTTATGTGCACAGACAATCATAAGCCTTAGGTTCACCCATTCCCTTCTTCCCCATCCTCATGTACCACAACCAGAAACTTCTGATCCTAGTGTGTGAAAATCAAAAGGTCAATTTCCTCTTCCAACTCCTATATCTGTGCTTTCAGTCTCTCAAGCCAATTCCTGCTTCAGCTTCAAATGCTTCCTCCTCTATTCCAAGAAGTCTGCGCTGAGTGTGTTCTCCCTCCCCGCTGTCACAGTTGGCTGAGCAGGCACAGGGTGCTTCTTGGCAGGACCAATCTTGCATCAGTAACTGCTCGACTTAAATATACAAAGCAGGATATACCTCTTCAAAAATAGATTGACTGATGCCAAAGCGCAGCAAGCAAATAAACAAAATCTAACTATAATAAAAATTCACAATTCCCAGAGTCTAAAGATTTCAGCTAAGTCAATTTAATTATGGCGATGATTTTCCACAAACTGTTGAGTGTTTATTTATATTTAATGCTGTATCAAGCACACAGGGAACCCTCTGTTCCTTTCTTTTTTGCCCTCTACAATTATCTGTAGATACAGTTAGAATTTTAAAACTTGTGAATGCATATACATGTCCTGCTGAGTTTTCACATGAGTCAAAAACAGTAATACAAGCTTTCCCCAAACAGACTCCCTTCCCCCCTGACTTTGAACATTAGATACATTTCCTCACCCCCCAAAAAGTTCAGTAAATGTCCTACCCTGAGTTCTTGGCGTTCGTTTCCTGCGATCCCTGAATGCTGCCCCAGATTGCAGTGCCTCAAGTAGATTATCCATCACTCCTGTCTCGTCGCCCTCTGTGAATAGCAGAGGAAGTAAAATTAATCTCTTTGCAATTAAGGCTATAACACAGGGAAAAAATATGAAAAGAAAAAATAGGGTCACATTTACATAAAACCACTAAATTAAAGACATATATTTTACTGTAATGAAAGCTGTCAGTTTCATGTTACACCATTGACTAGTTTGTTTATGAAGTTCTATTAAACAAAATTGATGCCAACCTCACTTTCTGTTCTTCTGACTTTAAGACCTTGTCTCCTGTATTATTGATGACATGTTCCATATGCAAATAAACAGGTGCTGATCAGAAACATCTTTTGCAGTCCTAAGGTCCTTTTGAAAGATCCCTACGCAAGCCTGCTTAGCAGAATTGATGCACATGAAGCAATTTGATACACTCATCAACACCAGGTGAACTTCCCATAAGTTTTAATAAGGAGCAAAGACATCACTGCCATTCCATTCAGTATAGACAAGGAGCTCTTCCATACATGACCTTCACTCACTTTAATAGTAGGGGTATATACAATAGAACAAGCAAAACAAATTATTAATCTGCCACGTATATTGAAGTGAATGGGAAAGCAGGGAATTCATTTTTAGTCCTCTCAGGTACCAAGGTCACACTTTATACAACTGTTCTCTCTCCCCCACACCCATATTAATACTTTAGGCGGATGCAATTATACTAAAACTTACTTATTCAAATAAAGAACCTGCAAGTGAAGACCGACGAAAGGAAACATAATGCTCCCCAAATCCATAGGCAGAAAATAATCCACCACTTTAAGCAGTGAGGGCTGGGGGGGGTGTGTGTCTTAAAATCTCTTTTATCCCTAGTATACTAAGGGAAGCTGGTTAAAATGATTTATTTAATTATTTGTCCAATTCTCACTTGCATGGTTAACACTTCATGTTTCAATTTGTTTTGTTAATAAGGTCTTGGAGAGGTATGTAATAATGCAAGACATACAGGGCAGAAACAGCTATAAGTAGTAGAAGACCAATGAACCATGATGCTTATTTTATTCCTACCCACATTATAGGCTTATCTGCAAAAGCTAACTATATACTCTGGAAGCAAATAACAAGAGTTTGATATTATTATTGCTATTTTTATTCTGCCCATACCTATGGCTTGTCTGTAATCAAATACAATGTAACTTTACATCACTTTGATGCAACATTGATTATTATGTTCAGCATCCTGAACACCATTTAGTGAGACGAATAAAAGTAACATTATATATAAAGTTTACAAACATGCTTTCAGTCATACACACACATTATAGACTCATATCTTTTAATGGGCATTAAACGTTCCTGCCTACCTGCCAAATTGCAGCCTATACACATATGAATATTTCAAATAGAAATGATAGAAATGTTTACAGACATATACATAATCCGTACACACCTCCATTACAATTGTATTTACTTGTTCATTATGATGCGCTACAATGGTAATCTGTTTGAGCCAAAATGATGTAATGTTCTCCATGTCAGAAAGTACTATCTCAAAATAGAGACATGATCTTCATCTTTAGAAAAGCACTTGATATCACTTCCATGGGGAAAAGTGAACCATTTCAGAAAGCTGGTGAGATTGTATATCTGAACATTCATCCCCAAACACAAACACAAATCCTCCCAATACACAGAAAACAAGGATATCACCAAGATCACTAGTGTTGGTGCTGTTTTTCTAGAAAAAGAAATGCCGGAACTCACCATGAATGCCTCTCTTGTTCTCTTATAATGGCAATGGCACCAAGCAGGTGATCTCACACTTGCCTTTAGAAATTATAGTTCTATGAAGACTCTACCACCTGATTTTTGGAAGGTTTAGAACACCATTCTTTACTGAGGTTGAAAATCAATGGGAGTTGGGGGTTGGAAGTCAGCAATCTAAGAGTCATTGCATGCAAAATAGTAATAAAAGAGCCTTAGAGGGTGCATGTATATTTTCAGCTAGAGCATGATTCAGCTTGAACGCTTGTAAAAACTAATAAATGGTGAACCCCATAAACTAATAACCTGGAATCAGAAAGCTCCCTCACCACCTCCTGTTGAAAGGCCACAGAAATAGGGGGAGAAGCCATACCCAAGGCAGAAAATGAGAGCAACCCCCCAAACTGGAAAACCCAATTAAAGTTCCAAACCCTGACAGCCCCAACCCAACCTACCTGAGAGCAAGAGAGTGGACAGCAATAATTTTGGTGATCAGGTGAATAAGGTAGACCCAATATTAAGACACAGGGGGAACCAGGAGATAAGGAACAAATCTGGGCAGAAAAAATGGACTGAGAAGCAAAAACCAAAACCTGACTGACACCCTTCAGGTGCACACACAATCCCAGCACAGAATGGCACTCTTGTCTAAACGGCATATTGACAGGACCCTCCTGAAGCTGCTCCAACTTTCCAGTATACATGCAGCTGAAGCTATATAAAAAAAGCAGGGAGAATGAGTGATCTCACTAACAGGAATAGTTCAAATGCCCTACTGATAAAAGTTTGGGTTGGATGTGGGTGATCTGGCCAGAGCAGAGAAAGATAGAATGCCTGAGAACATGGAGCACAGCAGCAAAAAAAACCAAGCCTCAAGCGCTTGTGTTGAATGTGCCGTTGAGGAACACTTCAAAATGGCAGTCCTGCCCAAAGTTTACTGAGGGAAACAACAACTCTGTCCAGCCCTGCCGCAGCCATGAACCACACAGAAAAACCTCTATCAACTAAACTAAGCAGCTAGAAAGAATGCCCTGGGTGTAAAGTGCCCCTGCCCGGTGAGGGAAGAGGAGAAAAAGAAAAAGAAAAAAAGAGAAGGACAACCTGAGGGAAACATTCAATCACACCAAATCACTTACAACCCAAACAAAGAATCTAAACTGAAAGGATGAACACTTTTCACTATCAGTAAAAAGAAAACTTTTTTGCTCAAGAATACGATCAAGAAAACAAGCTTCTACCAAGGACTGCTCAGAACAAACCTGCAAACAGGTAGCCCCTCCCCCTGGACAGGAGGACAGTAGAATACAGGACCCTACTGGCTATCACTAGTGGGAAGTGTCATCCCAATCACAGGAATTTCCTCCATCTGAATCCAGCAAAAGAACTTTGTTAAGATTGCTTTTAGTGCATAACCAATAGCCCTCCTACTGTGAGGCTGCCTGAAGACATAACAGAAAGGTACAACCATCGTCTGATCCCAGTGCAATAACTCCCATTGCTTTGACAAGTTTTCAGATTGGCTTCAGTTTCTTCAGTATGCTTGCTTAACAATCCAGCCTAGTTAACTTCAAGTATTTCTGCTGTTTTGTACATTGCTCTGATCCATGAAATCTGAAGAGGAATATGAAATGATTCAAAACTGAAGGTGATGGGAGGAATTTAAGCACAATTCCTTTAAGCTTAATATCATCAACCATTTGGATGTGGGTTGTTGAAGTTTCCATCTGAAAGCTGCTTAAGTGTAGCTTTTGTACGGCATTAATTTATCACACGATCATAGAATTGTAGAGTTGGAAGGGACTGCGCTAGTCCAACCCCCTGTAATGCAGGAAATTCAGCTAAATCATACATGAAGGATGGCCACTGAACCTCTGAAAAAGGGAACTGGAGACTACTTAGAGACAAAATTGATGCAGAGCTGGACGATGAAATGACAAAATTGGAGAAAGCACATGGTGAAATGAAAATGCCTTTCATACAAGGGCTTGGAGGGGAAGGGGAAGATTAAACCATAACTGGTCATCTGGATCTGGCATTGATGTAATTGACGGGGGGGGGGGAGAGCTTTGGGAAAACTTCAGTCCTGCCTTTCTTCAGTTCTAACAGAAAGCATTTGACATACTAATTGGAGTGAATTCAGAGAATGATGCTACTAAATTTATGGTACTCTCTCTGGAAAAAGAGTGGAAGAAACGTAAATGGAAAGTCCTGGAGGAGGAGATTAGAATACTAGGGTAAATACAACAGGAAATGGAAACAAGAAAGGATATGGAATTTGAACATATGGAACTGGGTGAGAATTAAAGGATATGTAACAATAAAAGAATTGTGGAATATTATTCCAATATGTGATCACAATGGAGAGATTTTAACATGGACATGGATGGAAGAATGTACTATTACTTGGTATGGTGGTGGGAGTTAAAGGAGAAAAAGTTGGTCTTAAAGAAAAAAACATGGTTGACATATACCAATAATAAAACAATTCAGGAACGCCTCTTGGACTTTTCGTGGGGAAAAGAAATGAATGATTTTGAGATGCTGTGACTTTTACATTAATTTTCTGTATCTTATTCTATAATGAAGAATTTTAATAAAACCCTTACAAACTGAAAGCTGTCTTTTGCATCATCCTAATTTGTGGGGATAATTTTAGAATAGTTCCTCACCATTCTAGAAAACTGCAGAAGTAGGGAAATGGTGAATTATGGTATGTACAGTTTGGTAAATGGCTGCCTGTATTTGCCCCATGCAAAAACACTCCTGAAGGTAGAAGATCGCTCTTTTGCTAATGCTATGAGCTGCTGCTTCAGCAGAATAAATTCACAAGAGAAAGACATGACAGTCTTAAAAGACTGATAATCTGTGCTCAGAATCTGTTGCTGCAATTTATATTTCTTTCCTCACAAATGGTAGCTGGGAATGAAATAATGTTGAATTACTCCATTCCATCTTAAAAAAAAAATACATGAAAATGTAATATTCATTTAAGTGTACTTTTCATACTAACAACCAGTCCTCTGCAAAGTGATTTTCTATTTAATGCCTCAAATGTCTTTTGGTATAATTTAGAAGCAAAGGGGAAAAATGGACTGAGGGCTAAATGCTAGAAGCACTTTTATAAGCTAGTTGCGTCACCACTAAACCTTGTTGCTAAATGTTGTTCTCTTAAAGTGGCATTTCCCAGTTCACAGCTACGCAACTCAGCCAATTTAGATATGTAAAAGACTCTGCTCTGCTACGCACCCAGTGATAGTTTTTAGCAATTTGTGCACGAACGGAA